ACGCAAGACATCTTCCTTTTGCTCAAGGAAGACCTCGTCGATCACCTCAGCACCAGAAGCAAATCTTCAATCGTAGCAATTGATATAAAGGGAGCTTTCGACCATGTCAGCCACGACGCAATCCTCTGCAATCTTGAACATCTGGACTGCGGGCCTTGGTTATACAACTACGTGAGAAATTTCCTCAGGCATCGCATGGCCACAGTGGGAATTTACAACCTTCGCAGCCACACTTTCCGACTACCGAACAGAGGTGCTCCACAGGGTTCGGCCATTTCGCCGTTGCTTTTCAACGTTGCATTGATCAGGTTACCCAGCCTCCTCGATGCTATACAATTAAGTTGTGCGACATGCCTTTTATGCGGATGACATTACGTTATTTATAGACAAGGGCCTCAAATATCGGAATGCAAGAAATGCGCTTACAAGAAGCAGTAGATATTATCGAGAGGTACTTGAAAAAATGTGGCCTTGAATGTGCTCCCGAAAAGTCGGAACACCTCATCCTGAAGTGTAGAACAAGAGGGCAACCTGCCACCTACATTGAACCTAATTACAGCGTCACCGTCAACGGAAAGCCCATCAAGAAAGTAGAAACATTACGAGTACTGGGGCTCCACATCCACAAAGATGGGTCAGGTGCGGCCACACTACCTCGACTACAACGCACGCTGTCTCTACTCACGCATCTCGTCAGGCGAATCACGAACCGTAGAAGCAGCCTTAAAGAGCACGACACACTGCGCGTTGTGCAAGCTCTCCTCAGCAGTCGAATAACCTATGGCACTCCCTACCTCGCCCTGAAGAACGCAGAGGTAGAGAAGCTGAACATCATGATTCGTAAGGCCACCAAAATCGCTTTAGGGCTCCCATTCACGGCTTCCACTGCGAAACTGCTGAAAATGGGCATTGTTATGCCTGCGAGTCGACAACGAACGTCCGTGCCTCTGAAAAAGGCAATCTGTGTCAAGGCCAGCCCGCGTCGCCCGCCTGACGCGATCAACAACTCAACGGCGTCTTTCTGGCGTGCACGTGCAGTGAGTCATCTCCGCAAGCGAGCCCGTCGAGTAAACAACTAGCGCCTTCCTGTCTGGCGGGTCTGACGCAATGCCTTGCGACGTCACTCGTCCTTGGGTGCAGCCACCTGCAGCGCAGCCTCTCCAGATTTGAGGAAAAAGAAGGACGCGGCCCAGCGGTGACCTCATTGGAGGATTCTGACCTCGCGACCAGCGGCGCTTCGGGTTGGACGTTTGGGTTGGACCCGGGGCATATAAAAGAAGCCCTGCGGCGCGTCGAGAGACCCCTTTTTACAGCGGACCCGTTTGAGAGCAGACCTACGTGTTAGAGAGGAGAGCTCGGCTCTTCGAGTCTCTGTCGGCCCCAGTGCCGAATTTGTAACGCCTCTGTATATATGCTGTACATAAACCTTGTTTAACTCACCGTCGTCTCGTCCGCTCGTCTATCAGCTCTGCGCAGAAGCAGTCGCGAGCTGAAAAACCTACGCTACCAAACGGCTGGTGACCTTCCCGGCGGAGTTGGAAGCAGTGGCGCCTTCGGGACCGTGTTGGCGTCGCCGTCTTTCGAAACAGTGGTTGCAGCGGTGAGATTTCGAGGCGCCCTTCGTAACTTCGTCGGAGGCGCGCGTCACAACAGCATGCACAACACCTGGCAGGAACTAGCTAGCCAGTTAGAACGACTAAAGCTCTCGCCCACTGGAAGATCAGTGCTACAACGGCTGAACTACAGCGGGACCTTTAGGCCGCGTTCACACTGAGCATTCCAGCTGCCGAAAGTGCTTCGAATCCGGTTCGGCGGCGGCAAAATTCGCCGAAAGGGCCCTCTCCGTGCCGATCGCTCTCAGACCAATTATTGCGGCGTCTGCCGCCGAATCGGTCACCGCGGACCAATAGGAGCGCTAGTCAAGGAATTTTGAAAAATGGCGGCAAGCCCTACTCACTTGTTATGCCGCAGTGCACGTAACTGAATGTTGAAAACAACGGGAGTTTAACCTACTCTGTGCCTACTTCGCCGCCGTATTTCGTGGAAGAGGTGACCGAGCTTGCTGTTGGCGTGACCGAGCTTGTTGCGATCTTGCTGAGCAAAACAAACCCACCAACGCCGCTGGCGTCGGTGGTTTTTCTGCTCTTCGTGCATTACAAGACAGCCACTTGCCATCAAAGTAAGCAGTACTGTCTTTTCTTGCTTCTTGCGTGCGAGAATCGTCGAAGTATACACCACCGGATAGCGTAGTAGCGTTTGCAAGCTGCGACAACAACCGGGTGACAGCGCATCCATCCCGCGTTCGACCTGTAGTAGATGGCATATTCGGCGGCGCGGGGCGCGTCCAGTCATAGCCTCCTCTATAACTTTGTGCCCGAGCGGTCGGTCCCTCAGCGCCGTCCCCCGAGCTATTATGGGATGCGAGCGCTCCTGGCGGAGCGCCGAGGCGCAAAACGAGAGAATGGATGGCAGCTATGGAGAAAAAACCGGCTTTGAGTAACTACCGAAAGGGCAAAAATGAAATAAGGAGGGAGGCATTTTACGATAATTCAAGGGGAAGCGCTTTACTGTTTGAAGCGAGATCGGGTTGCCTTAGAACGCGTAGTTATAAAGCAAGATTCAGTAAAGAAGAAGAACAATGCACATGCTGCGGGAAAGATAAGGAAACGGCGGAACATGTTCTGATTGAATGTGGAGATATCCACCCAGGTGTACGTTTGGGCACGAACCTACAGGAAGCCTTGGGTTTTAGGGACAACAATGGAAAGCTGAACACACCCGCGATTGAAATAAGTAAGAGACGGTTAGAGTATTGGTGGCAGAAAATTAGAGAGAAAGGACAAAAATAAATATTGGAAAAATAAAATATGGACAGTGTGCCGTAAATGGCAGAGAACTTAAGCTGAAAATTTACCTTTTTTCCATTAAGATAGAATTTATCGAAGTAGAGGCATTAGGCCAACATAAAAAAAGAAAAAAGGTTTTTTTTTTTGTCGAGCCTGGTGGCATACTTGTCACCACCCCGTTATAAAGGGGACGCTCATAGCATCCATCCATCCATTCCATCCAGCTCGCGCCTCGCTTGCTGCAGCAACAGGCGCACACCGCTACGCCGCGGTTTTCCCGTCGCGCGCAAATTTGGTTTGCCGTGCTCGATGTAAAACTGTGCTTGGCCCATTGTGTTTTCTGCTTGCCCTTGATGTTTTTTCTGGCACAATAGTCTCCCCCAAGAGCTTCGTTAACTGCAGCGCTCGCTGAGACAACCGTGACTGTATCAAGTGCGATTCGGGTAAGTTCTTTGTTAAAAGTGTTACATCTCCGCTTGCTGCAAGGAATCGTGCCTAAACGCTGTATTTTTGTTATCTGCAGCACTACCGTAAAAAGAAAGGCGACTGCCCATGCATGGTCAGAAGTTTGGCTGCGCCCCGAACGCTCCACAATGCCGTACTGCTGCGTACCACGCTGCAAATCATGGAGCGGCCGGAAAGAAACCGGAGTATCTTTTCACGAAATTCCGAGCGACCAAGAACTTCGCGAAAAGTGGCTTAAGGTAATCTCGAGAGACAACTGGACCCCGAACAGCACATCTTGCTATTCTACCGTTTGCAGCCGACACTTCGTCCCGTCCGACTTTAAAGAAGGGTGCACGACGCGAAGACTGAAGAAAGGCTCTGTGCCCAGCGTCTTCCACGAGTACCCGTCGTATTTGCAACCTTGCAAACAAACCGAAAGAAGCGATGCGGCCCTCAGGAAGCGTGCTGCGGCTGTATTAACTGACGAGCCAGCAAGAAAAAAAAGAGCAGTCGGTGGTGGTGCACCACATGTGTTTACGGACTTACGACATGACCAGTCGTGCGCGTCGGACTCCCAACTTGTTGAAGAAGTGCCCAACTCCAGCAGCAGGACTGACCAAGGCTTCGTACCGAGAACGGCGCAGGTGGATAGAGCAGTGCAAGTAGCCTCACGCATTTCGTTGCCAACCATCGAAAGACGGAAGTGGAAGCGTAAGGAACGCGAACTGAGGGCGCAGGTTGAAAGGCTCAAAGGAACTGTTGAAAAATATAAAAGGGAGCTTCAGAAACTTAAAGAAGACTGCTATGTCCCAGCGTTTTTGCAGGTTGTCGAGCAGGCAAGTGAAAATGAGTTGGCTGCCTCAATACTGCTGGAGCAGGTCAAAAATTTTCAGAAGGTGAAACCGACGTGGTCCGAAGTTACAGTCCGCCACGCAGTGATCCTTCGTAACCTCTCAGCGAGGGCATACGAACACTTAAGGAGCTCAGGGCTACTCCGCCTACCCTGTCGAAGCACGCTGGAGCGCTTCCTCGGTTCGTCACGCAATGAAGTAGGCGTCACAGACTTGATTAAGCAGAGGCTGTCAGCTGAGCTCGCTTCACACACGAGTGCTCAGTCACAGACGTGCTCGCTCATTGTGGACGAAATGAGGGTCAAGCAGCGCTTACTCTATCTCAAGCAGAGAGATGCCTTCATTGGCGAAGTAGACTACGGTGACTGCTTGCCGCAGAAGCAACCGAGCAAGCCAGAAGAGCCAGATTCTTGCAAACTCGCTGCTTTGCTTCATTTTAAGTGGCTTGTCAACGAGATATAAGATTCCCGTAGCCTATTTTTTTACTAGAAATTGCACCGGTGAAAACCTTCACCAGATCATGATGAACGTACTCAAAGAAGTTGAGAGTATAGGTTTTAGAATCGTGCGGATCGTTACCGACAACCATCGGATTAACGTGAAGGCGTTCCAACTGCTATGTGGGGGTAACCTCAAGCACTGCATACCACATCCAACAAATCAAGATGGCAAACTTTTTCTCGCTTTCGATCAGTGTCATTTAATTAAAAACGTACGGTCACAGTTTCTGTCACGCGATATCGGAAAGGATGGCGAAATAACTGCCCAGTACCTGAAAGACCTCTACAAAATGCAACAGCGCAGTATTGTCAAGCCAGTGCGGTTCTTGACAAGAAAGCACGTACATCCGACTAGCATGGAAAAAATGAACGTCAGGAGGGCAGTGCAAGTCGTTTCGCCACCTGTGACCGCGGCCCTGAAGCTCTTGAAAGAGCAGGCAGGTCATACATGTGACGCAAGCTTCGCCCACGTTGGTCCAACCGTCGTATTCATGGACACCATGTACCGGTGGTTCACCCTCATGGACGTAAGCAACTGCACCCAGCATTTCCACCAGAACAACCCGGACTGCAAGCAGTACGAATCCGAAGACGACGAACGGCTAGGTTGGCTTGAAACATCATTTCTTGACTACCTGGCCGAAATCAAGCGGCAGAGCCCGGCTAAGAATTTTCTGACCAAGGAAACGTACGAGGGCTTGCTGATAACAACCATCTCAAACGTGGAGTGCGTTCGGTACCTTCTCACGGCCACACGCTTCCGTTTCGTTCTGACTAGGAAGATGTCCTCTGACCCAATAGAGGCCTTCTTTGGGTGGTTGAGGAAATCTGCAGGCTCGAACGACCAGACAGACGTGAGGGCAGTTTTGTCTGGGATTGAGAAAGCACTGAAGACTGGCATAGCCTGCACGTCCAGCAGCAGCAACGTGATTACTGCAGACAGCAGCAGCTGCTCCACATCAGCACTCCTACAGCGATCGGCAAGAGCAGCGCAGAATGACGGTGAAGCATTTCCAGCAGAATCAACCACGATCCTCGAGGAGAGCCTCGACAGGGGGAAGACGTTGCTCCCAACGCCAGATGTTGCTGCACTAGCAATGGTTGGTGGCTATATTGCAAGAACAGTCCACGAAACCATTTCCTGTGATGAATGCTTCACTTTGGTGACTAAACCAAACACCTCTGCGCCATCGGATGCATTAATTAGGCACCAGGACAGAGGTGGACTCCTGTATCCGTCAACTGAGCTCGTAATGGTTCTAAATTCTCTAAAGAATTACGCGGAAGTTTTCCTCGCAAGAGCGAGAAAGATGAATCAGCCACTGAAGGCTGCCGTTGACAACGCCGCGCAAATACTACAGAAACGTGACAAACTCAAGTGCTCGACCCCGGGACATCATAAAAAACTTTTGGAGGTTGTGCTCGTGAAGTTTCTCCGCCCACTTTTTCTGAACTTCGCGACGAGTGTGACTGACAAACACGACTTGGCAAAAGATTTTCATGTCAAACCATTGTCTCGAAAAGTGCTCAAGCTTTGAGCGCGAAATCAAATAACAAAGCTCACATTGCATTCTGCATACAGTGCTTGTGTTAAAAATTTGGTGTGTGCGCACTTCTTAACGTATACGCATAATCCAATGCAATGTAGACGGTTTCTAGACCGTCATAAACGCAAGCGTGCATAGGCCGCGTCGTCTGCTGTTATTATGGGATCGGTGCGGCATCTGGCGGCGAGCGCCAAAACTATAAGGGACGGATGGCGCGTATGTATTTAGCGCTAATGCGCGGGCACAAAAAAATATAGGAGGCTATAGTCCAGTGCGAACGACGCTGTGTTTCGGCGGCAGGGGAATTTCGGTCGCTGTAGAAAGCGGATGTTTCAGTGTGAACTAGGCATTATAGGCGACACACAAAAACAGATTCCGCCAAACATTCGCAAATCTTTCTGTATTGCACGAATCCCCCGCAATATTCACCCTACACATCACATGGAAAGAAGGCAGGCACGAGTGAATGCTCTACGACGAAATCACAGCCAAGATCCAGACGCCAGATATACAGACGCGGCCAATTATCCTGGTAGAGACGCCTACGCTTTGAGCGTCGTTGATACTCGGGGTGTAGAGCTCGCATCTGCCACAGTGTACGCACCTGAAGCCCAGAAACTGCAGAGGAGGCGGCAATTGCCCTAGCTACCACAACGTGCTTGGATGCAGCTGTGGTATTCACAGACCCTCAAGCAGCAATGCGAAACTACATGTCTACCCAAGCAATTCAGATATTGAAGCGCCGAAGCACTCCGATGCCGTTCACCTGTCTGACATGGGTCCCTGGGCACGAAGGGCTGGAGGGAAAGGAGGCGGCTCATGCCGTGGCCCGCGATCACGCCTACCGGGCTACCCCTTCCCGCTTTCTACACTCTAGGACTGTGTCCGCGGAGGCTGAGTCTGTACCTAAGACTTACTCTGCAATACTGCAACACCATAGGCTGGCACGTAGAGAGTATCCACCACCACACTCGAAGCTCAACGAGGACCGCACCATACTGAGAAGACTGCAGAGCAACACATACAAACACGGCATACTAATGCACTGATTGTACCCAACATTACATGAATATGTTTGCCCGATTTGCACCGTACCTGACACGTTGGCCCACCTGATTCTCGAGTGTCCATGCAATACAAATACAGATCTATTGCCTCCGCCGAACACCTGCGACTCTGGTAAAGAAAACGAACACCTTCTTGAAACGTGGGAGGCCAAGCTCGCCTTGGAGGACCAGGGCCAACAACGACGTCTCGTCACCAGGGCCAAGGAGGCAGCGAAGGCCAGAGGGTTCCTGGAATGAGGAGACCTCCCACCTAAGGTGAATGCGGAACCTACACCACTACACCGTTTCGAAAATGAACGTTTATTCCTCCTCCTCCTCTCACAACATCATACCTATTGTAATTCTACAGTGCCCTGTTTTTGATCACTGCTGCATTCCTGTTACCTTTAGTCGTTACGTATATTTCGTGTTCCCTTAGGTACTCGGTCTCATTGCTTATCCATACGCCCAGAGATATTTGTATTTGTCTCTTATCTCTAGCGTGACCTCCTATATCCTAAGCTTACTACATTCATTACCATTAAAAATCATGACTGCTGATTTTTTTTTACTGAATCTGAAATCTAACCTATATCCCTTATTACCGCAGATGTCCATCAATCTCTGCAAATCCTCCTTTTTGTTGTCAGCCATTAGCACTATATCATCTGCGTACATCAATGCTGGTAGTGCCTGTTCGATGACTTTTCCTTGTTTGACGAAAGAAAGGTTGAAGCCAAGTCCACTTCTCTCTCATTTGGCCTCTAATCCTTGTAGGTACATCATGAATAACAAGGGTGACAGAGGAAACTCCTGCCTAAGCCCTCGTTTTACCTCTGTGGGCTTGGATACCTGTTTTTTCCACTTTATAACTACCTTGTTACTTTTACGCTAGCCACTGTGGCCTGTGTTCCTTTTCTGCTATTTCAATGTACTGCGTCCGTGAGAACAGATTTTCTTTCAACCTCATTTGTTTTCGAAACCCATTCTGTAGTTACCCCAACACCCCTCATTCTCTATCTTTGCTTGCAGTCTAGCTTTCCTTTATAATCTGCATAACTAGCCTGTAAACAACTGATGTCAATGTATATAAGACGATAGTTGTTCCTGCATGTGGCGCGTGGCTCTTTTAGTACCATTCGACTGCAGCAACGCGGATGGGATCAGGCGGCGAGGCGTGGTCACGCCACTCAACACTTCTAGTACACTCTACCGCTGTATCCAACGTTTATAGATACTTTTTTTAAGTTTTCTAACTCCTCCTGACACTCGCTCGCTGGATTCCGTGCGGACTGGTTGTGCCCTCGCGATATCCGACGACAGGCCGACTGGGCTGGTCCTACGCCACCTGCTGACGCCGGTCCCCAACGACAACGACAGCGTAGCTCTGCCCGACTGGAATAGCCCTACGGCATCTCCTTCTCCTACAAGAGCTCTCGTTGAGTGGTGCCCCGTCCTCGGACTCCTGCGACCGTGTTCATCTTTCCTATCTTCTCTTTACTTCCGTCGCTTGCTGTCCCTGCGCCTCTCTCTCTCTCTATATATATATATATATATATACCTTTTAATCCTATCCTTTTAATCCCTGCTTACCCCGATAGCTTGTGAGCTACTGTTGAGGTGCCGCACCAGAGGCAGACAGTTACGGGGCTCACTTTTCTCTTCCTTTCTCTTTAATAACCACATAAATCTAACTCCTCCTTTCGAGGCGGGCGCGATTTGCTCCAAGGAAGTGTGAGGACTCTGCAGTCTAACTTTGCGCCAAGTAATAACCGGCTGCTTCCCACTGGCTTCACTGCGGCGGCAGTTTCGTGCATTCCGTGCCGGTTTTCAGTCGCACTTTTTTTTTCTGTGTGTTTGTCGCCCGAAACAAAACTTACCCTCACACGACCCTGAGGTAGGGGGGGGGGGGAGGACATGCCGACCCAGACGTATGGATGATGATGGGTTGATGAGTTACGTGAGACTCTGAGACAAAGCGTCTCCGGGCGTCGCGTCTTTTCTATATCTGACAACGGCATGTCTTGTCGCATGGCATGCTTCCACGGTTTTCTGAAGACAATTCAACGCCTATGTACAGTCGCGAAGATACTCAGACATCGACGACTTAGGAGACTCTCCGATTGTTGACATCCCGGGTACGATCTAAGCATTGACTACGTGTAGACGCGTCGAGCTCCTGTGTACGTCTCCTGAGGTTAAATCTACCGTTGCTGCTATCCCGTGCGCCATAGCTCCGGACATCATAACGATGTACCATGTGACCGGGCGCACTAGCGGGTAGAGAAAAAGCGCCTAAAACGCCACTTATCTGGTTGAAGATTTACCTGAAGTGCAGAAAACGTCCCTTCATAGTACATCCATCATGCAACAAGCGAAATAACCGAATGGGTTTTGGTTCACAACAAATTGTCTTATGCTTTGTTTTCCCCTCACAAGCCCGAATTGTTTCACAAATCTAGCTATGCGCTTGTTTGAAATTAAAATTAGGATGCTTGTGACTAGTACGTGACAGTGATAAGTGTTTGCGTGTCAATACACTGATGTTTTCATATCTTCACAAATTTTACATTTTTAATGATCTTCAGTATATTATTCACCCAGACACCCATGAATCTGAATACTTCTAAAGAAGAAAGTGCACTGGTTTATATACCAGCTGAACGGAGAAATAGCGTCATTTCAGTGAGATCTTAAATGAGGCTGATACATTACAGCAATTGCTCAGTTTCAACTTCCTTTATGGTATGGCCCGCCTAGGTGCTTTTTGCTGTCCAATTTAATGTGCCAGCGTCGAATACCCTTATATTGAGACTCAGAAAAATAGCTTCTAAACCACTAAGCTGGAACCAGATGAGTAATAGCCTTTTTACTGCTGCTTCGGTGATACGTTTGTAATACAACTGAGCTCTAAATTTTGTTTCTACAACCTGGGAGAAAGAGAAGTTACAGTGCGGCATAACGGATCTTTAATCGACAAATGTTCGTCTAGCACCGCGCTACGTGAGCTATTATTTTCACCAAGGACCTGGAAAGACGCCGCACACGCATCTAGGCTCTACATTATACTCCTCGTGCCTAAAATCAAGAAGTTGCGGTGTTGTGTAAACGCTGCTCACCGGCTGCACCACGTCTAGCTGTAGCAGACGACGCGTGTTGTGTAAACGCGGCTCACCGGCTGCACCGCGTCTAGCTGTAGCAGACGACGCTCGTTTGCTTAGCGCAAAGTTAATGAATGGATGGATATGGCTGTACCCTTTAGATCGGGCGGTGGCTAGCGCCACTAAGCCGTAATACCTAATGAACCAAAAACTATATTTTTTTTTCCTTAAAAAAAAGAGTTTGGGGATTCGTACTTTGCAGTGAAGAGTTTAATTTTCACTCGTGCCTTGACTTTAGCCACCAATCAGATAACCTCCTTCTAGTTAGGTCTACCCGCTTAAAGTTTATTTTGCCCTCCCGGTCCCTAAACCCCAGTGCTTTGAAAAACTCTGCGCCATCATCCTGAACTATAGGGTGAAGCCCTTTACAGAACATTATCAAGTGTTCGGCAGTTTCTTCTTCCTCTCCACACGCACTGCATACTGTGTCTACCCCTTCGTATTTGGCCCGATATGTCTTGGTTCGCAGTACTCCCGTTCTGGCCTCAAACAGTAGAGAACTACCCCGAGTATTATCATAGATCATTTCCTTGGCAATTTCCTGCTTAAAACTTCGATAGATCTCTAGTGCGGACTTCTTTATCATGCCCATTCTCCACATGTCAGTCTCCGTTTCCTTCACTTTCTTCTTAACCGATAGTTCTTTTTGGTTTGGCCACCTGCTGTTTTCTAAGTATTTACCAGTCAACTTCCTGGTTCGTTTCCTCCATTTTGTATCGACATTCTTCATGTACAAGTAGCTGAAAACCTTCCTAGCCCAACGCTCTTCCCCCATTTCTCTCAATCGCTTCTCAAATTTTATCTTGCTGCTAGCTTCCCTGCCCTCAAATGATGTCCATCCCATATCACCTTGTACTCCCTGATTTGGTGTATTCCCGTGAGCTCCTAAAGCAAGCCTACCTATTCCACGTTGCTTAATTTCTAATCTTGCTTGAACTTCTGATCTCATGCACAAAACCGCATTGCCGAACGTCAGCCCAGGAACCATGACCCCTTTCCATATTCCTCTCACAACATCATACCTATTGTAATTCCACAGTGCCCTATTTTTCATGACTGCTGCATTCCTGTTACCTTTAATCGTCACGTATATTTCGTGTTCCCTCAGATACTCGGTCCCATTGCTTATCCATACGCCCAGATATTTGTATTTATCTGTTATCTCTAGCGTGACCTCCTGTATTCTAAGGTCACTACCTTCGTTGTCATTGAAAATCATGACTGCTGATTTTTCCTTACTGAATCTAAAATCTAACCTATCTCCCTCATTACCGCAGATGTCCATCAATCTCTGCAAATCTTCCTTGTTGTTGGCCATTAGCACTATATCATCTGCGTACATTAATGCTGGTAGTGCCTGATCAATAAGTTTTCCTTGTTTGACTAAAGAGAGGTTGAAGCCCAGTCCACTTCCCTCTAATTTTGCCTCTAATCCTTGAAGGTACATCATGAATAATAAGGGTGACAGGGGGTACCCCTGCCTAAGCCCCCGTTTTACCTCTGCAGGCTTGGATACCTGCTTTTCCCACTTTATAACTACCTTGTTACCTTTATAGATACCCTTTAAAAGATTAGTGACTACATGTTCCACGCCTAGTGTGTCCAGTATTCCCCACAATTCCTCTTGAACCACGCTATCGTACGCTCCCTTGATATCCAAAAATGCTAGCCACAGGGGCCTGTGTTCCTTTTCTGCTATTTCGATGCACTGCGTCAGTGAGAACAGATTGTCTTCCAACCTCCTGTGTTTCCGAAACCCATTCTGCAGTTCCCCCAGCACCCCCTCATCCTCTATCCACGCCTGCAGTCTTTCCTTTATAATCTGCATCGCCAGCCTGTAGACCACTGATGTCACTGTTATAGGACGGTAGTTGTTTATGTCAGCTTTGTCCCCCTTTCCTTTATAGATCATGCTCATCCTGCTAAGTTTCCATCCATCGGGAACTTCACCATCGATTATTATTGTGCTCACTGCCTCTCTCAAAGCCTGCTTAGACTTCGGACCTAATGTCTTTTAAGTTAAGGCCCCTGCTTGCAGCGCCGCGGTGGCGAAAACTGTAGCTGGCCGCCTGCTCCCCGAAGGCGAAGCGGAGAGTTCCGAAACTGAAACGTTGGCTGTTTCAGCGGCAGGTGTGCTTTGCAGAAGAAAGCACGACCAGTTTTTTTTTTTGTTTTGTTTTAGTTGCTGTTTTCTGGCTCTGCCTGTGATAACGATGGTCAGATTTCACAGAATAGTGATGCTAGTATCTTAAGTACGTTACGCGTTTGCGATGCGTAATACTGAAGTCGGCGTTAGTAACGTCCCTGCATTTATAGTGAAACTATGGAAGCTTGTCGAAGACGAGAAATACAACAACCTAATCAGCTGGAGCTCGGTATGTCGCGCTCGTCCCTCTTTGATCGGCTAGGGCTCGGCTAGTGCGTATGTACTACTTCGTTACAAAACAGCATTAATTTCCTTTTTGGCCTTCTCGGCACACTCCTAAGAGAAAGAACTGCCGTCAAACGGTCGGCCGATACACTCTGCCGGCACTACCTTTCGCTTTTTAATGCTGCCGGTTTATACGACATCTCGTCGAACCACCAGCGTGAAGGCAAATTTCAGCTCTGCCCGCTTTGTTGGGAAAATGGCACTTCCCGGCAATGAGACGGCTTGATTGATTGATTGATTGATTGATTTGTGGGGTTTAACGTCCCAAAACCACCATATGATTATGAGAGACGCCGTAGTGGAGGGCTCCGGAAATTTGGACCACCTGGGGTTCTTTAACGTGCACCCGAATCTGAGCACACGGGCCTACAACATTCCCGCCTCCATCGGAAATGCAGCCGCCGCAGCCGGGATTCGATCCCGCGATCTGCGGGTCAGCGGCCGAGTACCTTAGCCACTAGACCACCGCGGCGGGGCAATGAGACGGTGCTCGTATAGTTACAGCTCATGTGAATGTGTAATCGTCAGATGCACTGAAAGGAGTTCGTATAATCTATGGAATGCGTTTGATAATTGAAGAACGATGTCGATCACCTGTGTGTGCTCTAGGGTTACTTTTCTTTTTCCGCGTTCCGCTTATTGCTTAGGGTGTAGTAAACCGTGCTCCCGAATCATACATTTTTTATGTAAAGCTATGATTAGCGGCTGCAGCGATCTGGCAGTGCGATTTAATCGGGCAGTAGCATCTATTCTGGCCCAAGTTTGCTGCTCGATTGTTGGCGCTGCCAAATTAGTGAACCCGAATGTGTTATGTTTTTGACACTTGGTTTAAGCAGTCAAACTCTCTCGCATTGTCTTGCTATTGTACATATTTTTGATGCACTTCGCTTGCCCCCTCCCTGTGTGCAGGCTGTCTCATACTTGTGGAAAATCTAGGAGCGCTTGGCATCGTGATGCAACTAGCGCTGCAATCGCGTGCCAGTAGCAGCTTACGCGTGTGCAGACGCTTCAAGGATGTAGAGTTGAACCGCGTCGTCTGCTATGGCAGCGCGCGTGCGGCATTGTCAGCGCACATGCGGGAACTGGACCGATTCTCAGCACTAATCATTTTAAAAAAAACATCTGCGCCGCAAGATGGAATACGAAAAACAAAGAACGAAAAACTCGCGCATGCTTTCTTTCTTCGTGTCCCGTCTTGAGGCACAGTTTTTTCAGATGTTTCTGTACCAACTTGCCAAACTTTCAATGCTTGTTGACACTAGAGGTTGTGCAATGCCAACCTCTCAGCCCTTATTTGCGTTAATGGGGCACTAGAAACAGTATTTGACAGCATACCTTGTTTTCTCTATCAAAACATCCTGGTGCTGTGTACATTCACGATTTCCTTCATTATGAGGAAAACACAACAATGAGCATGCACGGTATCTGCTTGACTTTACATAAAATAAAGTACTCAGTAGCGACTGCTGAGAAGCTGAGCGTTTTAACACAAGAAAACAAATGGGAATGAATCCAAGGATGATTTAGGATAGAACGACCACCTGAACGTGTTTATTCTCGACGATATTTGATCACAACAGAAAGGACTTGCGGCGCCGAAATGCACTCGTGATGGTTCCAAGTGCATGTCCCCAGTGGTAGCGATGATAATGCTCATACTAGATAGCATTCAATGGTGTCAATGTCAGTGGTGTCATGGTGTCAGTGATGTGTTCTGCCACAGCATGGCCCCTTCGTTGACAATGGGGGCATGGCATCACAAGATCCAGATTGAACTGAATAAAACCGGGGCTCGTCTGCCTTACGTTTTTCAGTTTCATTTTTCTTGTTCAAAAAGAGCACTACTGCGTTGTTTGCCTGGTTTACGATCTCCCGTATATCTCTTGTAAAAACTACACTACGTTTCGGAGCCGTCTAGTGAGTCTTGTGGTAATCAAATGTCGTCGTAAAGAGAAACGTTCAGGCTTTTTCCTCAACTAAAATATTACTGAATTTGTTCCCATTTGTTTTATCGTGTTAAGCCAGTGCAACAGTACAACTCTTACTGATGAGTGTTTTTTTATTACAAGTCAACGCACATTAGGTGCTAAGTGCCGCGTCTTGCTTGTCAAAGGGTACTGCGGTGCACTCACAGAGAAGAAATTTTCATGAATGCACACAACACCACCGTGTTTTGAGAGAGCAAACAAGGTATGCTGCCAAATTCTGCTTGTATATCACCCCATTATCACAAATAAAGGCTTAGAGGTTGGTGTCGCACAATGTGTAGTGCAGATTATCGGCCCAGTTCCAGCACTAACAACAATATCCGCGCGCTGGGCAGCAATGCAGCAAGCAAGAGCCGCTATAGCAGACAACGAGGTCAAAAACTAGACTCCTGAAGTATGTGCATGTGCGAGCTGATGATAGCACGGGGTTGCAGCGCTGGCCGCATCGCGATGCCACGCGCTTCGAGATTTCCCCTAAGTGTGAAACAGCCTGTACATATGTCTGTGTTCTTGATGTATTAATATCGGTTTTCAACAATGTCTTATTTAACAACTTACTGTCGTTTTCTTGTAGGCGGCCCGCTTGCATAGCCGTAAACTGAGCAGTTGGGATTCTATATGAAGTAAAAAGAAAGTTACTTCAAAGAAATTATCATCTTGTGCTACTTTTTAATAGTTGAAACTATGTTTATTTGATCAATATCAGTTGTTAAAACTGCTTTATTCTTTTCTGCGATCCACCAGCTTGTTCTCGAAGTGCATGCTGTGTTCATAAGCATGTTATCATTAAATTAATTTTGCCTTTAAGTTCTCTTTTACATTTGAATTGTAAAGGTTATGCACTCCATCACTGGCTGCCATACAGTGTGTTTGTAATTGGGCAGTTCAAATAATTGATCGAACTTCAGTTGTCACGTTTTATTTTTATTGTTAATAGACTGGACAGAGCTTCATAATACACAATCAGACACAGTTTGCCAAGGAACTTCTGCCTCTCTACTTCAAGCACAACAACATGGCAAGCTTAATCAGGCAGCTAAACATGTGTAAGTATTTTTGTTTTGAAATGACTTGATATCTTATGGCATTGTAAAAGTTTAATCAGTTCAGTGATTCCTCTCATCTGCTGCAAACAAAAAGTTCTCATCAGGGACATGGCCATCGTTGATATGTGCTGACCTCAAAACATCGCTCATACCTCCAATGGGAATTGGAAAGGCATGTATGCAGCAAAAAAAAAAAAAAAAAAGAGGGGTGTATGTAAAAAGAGCATCGAAAAGAGAATGCCACAATTGGCGTTCAAAGCAGTGCAGCTTACCAGCAATGTATTGAACTTGTGGAGAGAGATACCACAGCAGGCAGCCTCTTCAAATAGACAGGCATTAAAATTGTAGGTTGATAAACTTAGATGTAGTTGTCATAGGGGAAATAGATGCAGCAATCCTGATGAAAAGAAAAATGGGGGCAGGAAGTGCTTGTGAACCACACAATATCAAATTAGTTTACTACTGTATAGCCTGCTATGACCTCTAAAATACTCATTTCTTTATAATAACTATAATGAAGCAATCTTCTTCATAATATATATACTTTGTATGTAGATGGAAGGGGACCAATATAAGAACGTATAATTTGGAGAGAATGGAACATGCTTTAAAGAATATGTGAAGCCTAGAAGCAGTGAAGAGAAAACTGGGATTAGGCAAAAACAAGCCGTGTGCTCGAAAAGACAACGAACTTTATTGACTGTAGTTTTACATCCCAGAACCATGACCTGATAATGAGGGATCCTGTAGTGGAAGGCTGGCGTGCAAGTTAGGCCTCCCTACATCAACATATTTTCTAATGATAATTTTCAATTAATAGTCAGTGCTATGGTTTGTCGTTTGTGTGCCTTCGCTTTTTATTTGTTCTTGTTGCACTGTAACGTAATGATACAAAAAAAATTATTGAAAGGATTTTTTGCAATATTCCACTCATGCTTTAATCTTCTAACTGCTGTAGTAGTAGAAGTGAGCAGGGTGTACAGGACAAGGAATAACAAAATACAAGAATTTCCTGAGAAATCTCATTTGGATTCATTGTTTACAAATGAAGAAAAAATTAGTTCTTGTGTTTATATACAGGATGTTCTTTTTTGAGACAGTATAGCTTTTTAAGGATGATAGTCTTTCTTGGGATACTTCGATGCAAAAATTTTGGTCGGTCTATCGGTTAAAGTCAGGCGGTCGGGCAAGCAGGCAGGGCGAGCGGGCGGGCGGGCGGGCAAGCGGGCAAGCGGGCGGGCGGGCAGGTGAGCGGGCGATTGGTTGGTCGGTCGGGCGGGTGGGCAGACAGGCAGCTTGTCTGTCTGTCCCTCGAAACGATACTCGAAACGGCTAAATTATTTACTAATGAAGGTGGAAATTATTCTCTTGGGTTTGTATACTGGGTGTTTTTTTAGGCAGTACACAAAGACGATAGTCCTTCTTGGGATACTTACGTCGACGGATATTTAGACGTAAAAAAATGTCCCAAAACTGCCATATGATTATGAGAGATGTCGTAGGGGAGTGCTCCGAAAATTTCGACAACCTGGGCTTCTTTAACGTGTACCCAAATCTGAGCACACGGGCCTACAGCATTTTCGCCTCCATCGGAAGAGCAGCCACCTCAGCCGGTATTCGATCCCGCGACCTGAGGGTGAGCAGCTGAGTACCTTAGCCACCTGACCACCTCGGCGAGGTATTCTGTGGTGTGTTTCTTTATACTAGAAAAGGCATACATAGGTAATTCCAAGGACCGTAGTGTTTATCACGCTGCGTTGACAATGCAACGCTATGTACGAAAAGGCAAGTGTTTTCTGCGCTTGCTAGGACGACACAATGGTGGAACCTACCCGTCGCCGCATTCTACACCTTGTCACCTCTGAGACAGGCACGCACACCGCACGCTTGATATATCAGAGGCCATCCTTTCATTTTCCAAAATAATTGCCAGATAGCGCTCATGTCTCTCGCAGCGTAGAGTGCCTCGATATGCTCGTTCGCCTCTTCTGCTTGCATTGAAGCACTCTCAATGCAGCGCCTCCAGAATACCATTCGACGGATCAAATAAACATTTTGTTCTCTTTCTCCAGACGCAAGATCGTTGTCTTTTGGCGACATTTCCACTGAAACATGCAGATACGTGGCCAATTTTTCGTAAAAGTCCTATGGCAGCAAGAATCCTGTTGTTTTTGCACACAAACTCCATGTCGAGGGGGAAATACTTTTCCACAGGTAAAGTGGCAAAGTTGTGAATAAGAAAACCTTATTAATTAACATATAGGCAGGTGTTTATATTACAAAGGTATAGTATGTGTCAATTATATATTACAAAGGTATAGTATGTATCAATTTATGGCATATCCATTTTCTAGAAATCACAATAAAAAATTCACCCATCTTTGCTGAAGGGAATCATGGGTAGGTGTGAAGCAGCGGGCGCTAAGCTTACATTGGTGACAGTGTTGGCGCTGCAGCACTCATTGCGGCAATGCACAGGAGACACAGTGATGAACCAGTGTTTTTTACTGAAACTTGCCAATCGCTGATAATGGGCAATGAGAGGCAAGAGTCTGATTGGACACAAAGACCCGTAGTCCGCTTTAATTAACCCACACACAGCACCCCGCCACATTGGTGACAGTGTTGGCGCTGCAGCACTCATTGCGGCAATGCACAGGAGACACAGTGATGAACCAGTGTTTTTTACTGAAACTTGCCAATCGCTGCTAATGGGCAATGAGAGACAAGAGTCCGATTGGACACAAAGACCAGTAGTCCGCTTTAATTAACCCACACACAGCACCCCGCCACATTGGTGACAGTGTTGGCGCTGCAGCACTCATTGCGGCAATGCACAGGAGACACAGTGATGAACCAGTGTTTTTTACTGAAACTTGCCAATCGCTGATAATGGGCAATGAGAGGCAAGAGTCTGATTGGACACAAAGACCCGTAGTCCGCTTTAATTAACCCACACACAGCACCCCGCCACATTGGTGACAGTGTTGGCGCTGCAGCACTCATTGCGGCAATGCACAGGAGACACAGTGATGAACCAGTGTTTTTTACTGAAACTTGCCAATCGCTGCTAATGGGCAATGAGAGACAAGAGTCCGATTGGACACAAAGACCAGTAGTCCGCTTTAATTAACCCACACACAGCACCCCGCCACGGTGGTCATATGGCTAAGGTACTCGGCTGCTGACTTGCAGGTCGCGGGATCGAATCCCTGCTGTGGCGGCTTCATTTTCAATGGAGGCAAAAATGCTGTAGGCTCGTGTGCTCAGATTTGGGTGCACGTTAAAGAACGGTGGTCTATATGTACGGGGTGGCCAGTGAACGGTTGTGCAACGTGAGCAGTCAGTTTTTTCAATCAAGAAATGTGCTAGCAGACGCTGCCTGTGTCATCATTGCGAGGTGAGTGAGGGGGGAGCATAGGAAAGGAGAGAAAGGTGAAGGGGACCCATATGCGCAATAGGTGTGTAAGCACTACTGGGAGGGATGTCTAGAGGAAAAAGAGGGGGCAGCGAGCATAAGCTAGCAGCAGATAGTGCCTGCGTCGGTGCTGCGAGGCGAGAGAGCGGGGAGCATAAAAGAGAAAGGGCATGCGCATGTGCTGTTGAGTGCAGATGCCACCAGGTCAAGCTTGCTCATTTGATGCTTCGCATCTAAAATTGCACGTAGTATTAAATACTCATCATCGAACTGCAAGGGTGAAATCAAAATCGATGGTGCTCTGTGTGCACGAAGGGCAGCCATTCCGCTATATTTGACCACACACTACCCATAATAAAAGAGTGACAAAGTTTGAAGGACGCTGCCCCGTTTTTGTGAAAAGCTTCAAGTTGTCTCACTTGTGCCCGCACGTCGCCTTATTTCTGCATGTCGTGTTGCTTAATTGCTTATCTGTTTTCTTTTTTTTCAGTGCACGAACCCCCCTCCCCCCACAATATTAATTTTTATTTGCCTGGGATGCATAAAACTGTCCGACAACCAGTGTAACACTTGTTCCTGCAAATAGGCGAAATGGATTTTTGTGCTGCTTCATAGTTTCACGCTAAAAAAAAATGGCTGTGCCGTAATTCAGTTATTGCAAATGAGTTCTACGGGAACCCGCAAGGTGGCAGAAGGGTTGAGAATGGGAAAGAATACAACTATCTGCTTGTAGCACAAAGCTACAAAAAAATCTATATGAATTTCTCAAAAAAAAAGCCTCTTAGTTGCTGAAAAATTCGTCTTGATCATGACCCTAAACTAGGAGGAATTTTCCGGCAACTAAGAAGCTTTTCTTGTGGCTTCGTGCTACAAACGAGTGATTATCTTCTTTCTCTTTCTGAATTCAGTTATTCATGGGTGTGCAAGTGAGAGCTACGGATAGTCTTATTGTTTAGCTTGGTTCCCTGTTCGGTTATGCTTCTCGATGCGTGCAGCTCGTTCTTCCTCCGTCTCCACAGCTTGCTTCCTCCTCTTGGTTTAATTCCGACTATGATGTGTGGCTTCAATCAGTCTCTCTGACTCACTTTTTATATCTGTCAACAAAACCCGCCAAGCTGTTTTTTCTGCTTATGCAATGCAATGCCGGCTATCGCACAAAACAGATAGGTCCCAGCCACCGCACACAAACATTAAGCCATCTACTTGTGTATTTCAGAATGCCTGTCGATTTCTCTGACCATTCTGCTTCAGCACACATTTATTCAGGTTTTGTCACTTCACTGTTGTGTGTCATTCTGGCGTTCGGCTGTGCTTTATGCATGCCGGGTGTGATCAGTTTTGATTTCGCCCTTGAAATTCAATGATGAATATCTTGAACTGCATGCAAGTTTTGTTACTTACAAAGAGAAATAACACTGGTATGCCCTAAATTGGAATGCACTACAATATTTTAATATAAACACCTGCCCTCAAGTCAGTAAATAAAAAGTTAACTTATGAGTTTTTGTTAATTAGTCACGTCAACATAATTTTAGCAGCGAGAACGTATTGCCACCTGCTTATATAGTTTATGTGTGAAAAC